AGGAATGCCTCAGAGTTATTTTCCCCAAAGGCATTTCTTTTATCTGTAGAACAAGTTTCAACCTTTGAAGGAAAAAGAAAATCGAGCTTTGCTGAACAAGTTCTGAACTATTGTCTGAAAAGCTGTTGCCTGCCCTTCACAGCCCCGGAAGCAGTTCTGAAGCCTCGGGCGGGCGCGTGGTCTCTTTGGACAGCAAGAGATGACAAACAGCTCGGATTCTAGGACAGCGCAGGTCCGGCCTGTGTGCAGGGTCTTGGTGGCTGTGGGGCTGCTCCCCCGGAAGGGACAGGCGGGGATCACGACCGTCCTCTCCCACACCAGTCTCTTCATTGCTTGCTTTCACCCCGAGTAGTGCTAAGTTTAGGGGTCGAGCATCCTCTCGGTTGATCTTCAGCTCATGTCTTACCCTGAAAGAAACTGAGATCCTCATTAAAACAGTAAAATGCTCAGCGCCAGGCCACAAGGAGAAGGCATTGCACCAGAAGACCTACACTCGGAAAAGCAGCGTGTCTCGAGCCTCCTGGTAGCCAAGGCGAAAAGGAGAGGGTAGTTCCGAGCTTCGCTGGAGGCCATCGTGGAGAGGCCTCCTGCGTCTCCTTCCCCCCGTTGTAACCGACTTGAAGCCATGAATTGCAGCTGCTTTTCCATTTGCTCGTTTTTACCTCGAGGAGATGGTTCATGGAATCATCATAGACGCCGCACAGGCTTCTGATCTCCCCAGTCTTCCCGCACCTTCTACTCACGTTGTAGGTAAAGCCAGGAGAGCGTTAAGTAAGAGAGGATCCAGCGGGTGGAATCGCCTTGTCTGCTTGTTCTCTTTTTTTTTTTAATGTACAAGTGACTGAGGTTCTAAACAGTTCGTAAAGACGGCACATCTTTTTGCTTTGCGGAGGGGTGGTAAGTTTTCGCAGTCTTTTTTCTAAAAATTATTTCTGACATTTCATTAGTGAAGAGAATCAATCGAAGAACCGCAGCAAGGCTCTGCTTGTCAGTCTTTGTGAATAATCTTAAATAACTAAATTGCGAGCAACCCGTCAAATAGTTTTTCAGTTAGTTGCATTTAAAAAATAAGGATTCACCGAGACTGTGTTGTTCGCTAAAACGTAGCTGTGCGATTCTTCGGTATCGTCGCTGGGCCCGTAAAATGAACGGCACCAACTCCGCACCTGCACTGGGCCATCAGAACCTCCAGGGTCTGCTCTGCCACTCAGACCCCACCCCCCCCAACATGCGCACCCGGCAAGGAGACATTGTTACTTGATGACCGAACTCACTAATATGTTACAGTAAATGGGGCATGAAACACAACACGTTATACATAGTATATACTAAGTGATTCTTGTATTGAAATGACAGGGCCATTTTTAACTTGCTGACACAATATTTGCAGTGTTTCATCATTAAATCGTCCCAATTAACAGTCAGCTTCT